AAAAAAAACAATGCTTGCTATAATCAAGTTGCTGATTGTGCAAGTTCTTTTAAGAGAATGCTACGGTTTCTGAAGAGGTGGGTAAGCGAAGGTTTTCACGAAAAGGATTGAATTAGATGGTACTGAAGGCATGTAAAGCCGTCTGCTATAAGGAGCCAGGTCAAATCTTTTGATATATCTCACTATCAAGTGTACCAGGTCAAAACCTAGGACTTCACATGGAGTTGAAGGAACAAGGGAAAGAAGACGAAGAACGACCTAATATGTGAGTTTTTTTTTCAAGTCACGGATACATGAAAAAATCATTTATAAGGAAAATTTTGAAGAAAGGAGGATTGATATTTGATGAGGCAGCAAGCAAGTTGGCAGGATGTGGATCTCGGCTCTCACTCACAGAAACCCCTAACATCCATATATCATTCTGCTCAGAACTGTATGGAGAATCCAGCTGACAATGTGCAAATTTCATGAGTTCCATTGTAAAGAGTTACTCCCTGCATCTTCTTGTTTCTCCTATTCAAGGCTATTTGGCATACATGCTTCTATAGTTCAGTTCTAAATCGTGATAACTATTACCTCCAACGATGCATGCCTTTCAAAGTTTTTGGACACAACAACTGCTTTGAAAGAAATAGCTATAGGGCGGAAATGCGCATACTCCTTACACTTTGTGGCCATTTCAAATCCAATCTACCTCCAAAACCAAATCTTTTCATTTTTCATGGAAATGTGCTACGATATCTTAATCTTATTTTGTTAACAGTCAGAATTTTCTCCCTCTATTGATATTATCGCATTTTCATACTTCTAGTGTGTAGAAAATTGACTTACTCAAACTCTTTTAGGTGAGGGTTCTACTCTTTCTTCGCTCATTAGTGAAGGTGACCAAAGCCGTGGTTTTATGTGTCTTACCTATTCTTTGAGCTCTGCCGTGCGTGCTTCCCTCGCTAAGGCTTCATATTGCACCGTTAATCTTTGGAGCTATGAATTGATGCCTCGGAAGTAGTAGAACTTAAATGCTTCGAAATCTGAAGTCACATGGCATAAGAATCACAAATGAATGTTTGAATGTTCAAAGGACCTTTATAGCGCTTCATTTTAGACTATTTCCGAAAAATTAGTTTTTCCAATCGCTTTTTCCCAGTGTTAAAGTCATGTAAAAATTAGGAAAACTACCTATGCACTTCTTATATGCGTTGTATCTGTGATTGTTTGGCGCGCCGATACCCATACCTCGAAGACAAATCCGTGTTAATGATTAAGATGATTCGAACATCTACCTAAGCGTAGGCCGACGTCAGAAGTAATTCCTGTTGTTGCTTCAGTCTTCACCCTATTGCCGCTGCACACCCATGTTTTTCAATGACGAGACACCAAGTTACACTTCCAAACTTCCCCAACGCAGAGACGAACGGTTCCAATATGACTGCTCATTGTAGCAGCAAGCGGGGAGGCGCTTAAGGTACGCTTAGCGCAGGATCCCGATCGTGCTGAATCTGGCCGAATGGATCAGATTCAAGTGATGGTGCTTACTCGATGAGAGGAGGTATCAGACGCACGCCTCACATGCAAAAAGAGTTATCCGTTACAAGTCATGCTCAACTGGTGAGTAGGATATAGAAGCGACGTATAATCAAATTTGAAACACAAAAAATTCATACATAACAGATGCTTGAGCACAATTCAACTTTCTTGTGGTGTTCACGGTTTTCCATATCATATGCACACCGCTTTGAGCGTTGAGCCGTAAGCCAAGATTGGTATAATGTTTTTATTTTATTGTATTTCATTATATGTCCGAAACGAGCAAAATTGGATACCTGTTTTGATCTACTCATAGGCAATCAGCTGCTATCAAGTTTACTAGGGAAAGCCAAGGGACAGTTGGCTCCCATTTCTTAACGTCTAGGTATGTCTAAGTAAGAAGGACTGTAGAACTAGGTGGTACAGAAATCCTCGCAACAAGAATATTCTGGTGCACTACTCCTCCGCCCACCCTATACATATTAAGCGAAGCATTGTTGGCAATACGCTTCACACGGCTAAAGCTTTATCTTCTGTCGATACACCGAAGGAGAAGTCAACTCAAGTGGCTCTCAATATAGCAGCTGCTAATGGCTACAAACTTATAAAGGATGGAAAAGGCGTACAAACAAGCTGCATAGTAATGCTGATAGTGACAAGGTGCCATTATATCTGCCATTCATTTCAGACGAGTTAAGCAGCGAGATCAGGGCTGCGTGAACAAGTCAGGTCTTCACCACTATTTGAGAGTTGTGGAGATTCCTCCTCCGAAACCGACAACGCTTAGTGCGCAACCGGGCATATGGCTAAGCTTATGAAAAAGCGGAATGTATGATTTGCTCCTCAAATAAACCGGGAGACTGCATGTATTCTGGGGTCATATATCTGCTAACATGTGTTATGCGGGGATGAATATATTGATGAAACGGGAACACCGCTATGTATACGAATATAGGGAACATTTAGGCGGTTTGCGGAAAGCAAGTATGTGTACGCCCCTAGGCATTCATCGCAGGCAGCGAAATAAACACAATGGGGCGCGCAAGACCCTAGAAGCATGTTGGTCCGCAAGGAATCTAAAAATAAATAGGAAAGAGGAATGCATCGCCTTAACAAAAGAATTCGCGCCGTTTCTGGACTTATGCGGGTTTTGACCTACACCCTCGCATATAAACCTTTCCAGGGCATAAACTCATTAGTCAATCACGTTGTGTCTATGGTGGTCGTGGTTAATTTCCTCAACGTCGTAAGGTGAGCTGTCTTTCGTAGGCTTTCAAGTCAACACTTGTTCAACTTTATGAGTTTTTCCTGCAAGCCATGAAAACATTAGGTACATCTCATTTGTTCCTCGCTTTCCAGGCTCTGAAAGGCGAACAAGCCGAAACGTACCTAATAAAAACATTATACCAATCTTGGCTTACGGCTCAACGCTCAAGAAGAATATAACGATGTCAAGATTCATCGAAAGTCGAACATGGAGATTTATTATTACTTCATACAATATTCTTCTTCTTGCGACGGCTAAGATATATGGCTCTTTGCTTGGAAAAGCCTCTATTATCTTTATGGAACTAGTGCTTTTTAGCAGTCCGCGATGATACTGATGTAGTGTTGTGAGTGATGTGGTTGGAACTTCCTAAACAAGTAGGTGTTATAAAAGCAAAGGAACATACCTCAAATGGTTATAGCCTACCGAAAACATTTCTTGGTGATAACACTAATGTCCTCAGTTCTTTGTTGAATCCAATGACAATCAACCTTAAAGTAATTGAATTCAATCTTCCTTTTAATTCGGATGAAACCATATCGTATGGACCCACGCATCCGTGCAATGCACTAGAATCCACGCTACTGTAGTGCAAGCAAAAACAGCCCATGGATTTTCAAAATGCGATGCTAAGTGGAAGTAACTAAAGAGTTCCATAGCAAGTATTATCCCCTGAAGAACAGCTTGTCTAAGGAAGTTAATTTCTTTCTTGCGACGTGAATCCATGGAAAACACTCCTGCCTGGCGAAGCTAAATAGGAAGAAATGTTTTTTAATCGCTTTTTCGCTCTCCTGGTTTAAGATAGTAATCTATCTTAATTTGGAGTAGTTGGTGAGAGGCAATTATTAAAGAGAAACGATTACAGTATTCTAATTTAGGAGTCTGGTCTGCGCCAGATACCTATATTTGAAGTCAACACTAAGCAACATCCCGCTACTATGCGAATAAGTAACTATACCTGTATGCTTGTCTTTCGCACTTTTATAACCGTCACACTATCAACGATGGCAATAATTGATACTAGAATTATATCCTTGTAGAAATCAAGATAGCCAGAAATGAACTTGCAATCCTGAAACGCTGAGTAAATTTTATATAAATCCTTTAATTTTTGAGACCTCTGTCAGTGTGAAGGAATAAGCCCAGATCCTCTCATCGTAGAGTAAATCGCAATCTCCTAAATACATGAGTTTTTAATTTCTTGGAAGTTTATAGGAAAGTTTGCGGAGAGGATAAAACTTACTGTAGCCATATGAAATGAGACATCGTGTTATGGATATAACCCATGAAAATATAATCAACCATTTGGTATTAGAACGACTCAAAGGGACATGACTTTGCATGCTATTTTATATTTCTTAATTATATCACTTACCTAAAATACCTTTCATATTTCCAGGGTAAACATATGGCGCACATTCGATTAAGTGCGACAAACAAATGACAATATAAGCAGTTATCGTAGCACATTATTTGAACCATGCTAAAGTGATTTGAGACCCCTTTAAGGACATCATTGTTGCTGTAAAGCAAGAATTTAGTATTCATCAACTACATCAGAAATTGTAACTTACAAAAATACCATAGGTGAGTAAAAAAAAGCAAATATTGCACAAAAAACTGCGTCGCCAATTGATTGACTCGTCATTAACAGACCGAACGAATTCCGCATTGTTGGAAGTGTTTGTGATTTTGTCGCAATTATCGTATTCGCTACGGTACCAATAAAGGAAATCTGATATAGGAATTTTCGTATTTATTTAAGCTGGCAACCCGTTTGTTTTGTTCCTTGTGTTCTTATTAAAAAACCTGAAAATTCTATGACGGATTTGGTGATACTAACTAAACAATGCCGTTTAATTTGAAACATATCACCGTAGTTATTCTAGTGACAGATGTGCACCTTCGCAAAAATATTTTCGGGATTGAGGGGTGTTTACAGTCATATGCATTATGATGGGGTTAGAGCAATTGCCCAAAGTGTTACACATTTTCTAAAACCTTAGTTTTTTTTTCCAAATTGAGCTATTTAGCTCACAAAAAGAAGAGTACTACCTTCATTTATGTGAACATGGTGGGAAAACAAAGTATGAGGTATTCGAGGCATTCTCTAACTACCTCTTTAGTGGCGTCAACCGTGATGTCTCAAAGCAAAGGAAATACACTTATCCTTTTATGAACTTCACATGGCTATGCTTTGTCTTCCCGAGACGCAAAAAAGTCTAACGAAACTGTTTCATTTGGCGAGAATTTAGAAGAAAATATGTAAAGAAACTTACGCAAAAGACCACCGTAGCAGCTAGCTGATTTTCTTCCATCTCAACAATACTCTCAGTTGGC